CACCTTTCGTGATTATAGATATTAGTGATTTGCAGTGGAGTGTAAGACTCCTTGGCGGTAGAATCACAAAACCTGTGAACTGGAAAGACCAACAGTGATGAAAGTCCAATCTTATTATTTCTTACATCGGTAAACTGAGATGGATTTGGAAAGGGCTTTCAGGGTCCTAATGAGCAGCTCTGCAGAGGATGGGGCTTGCAGGAAGACAACACATTTGTTCAAAAGTACAAAAGCAGGGGTTTGGGACTTATTCTGTCTAAAGTGTATCAAAATCAGAATTAGGAAATAAAGCTGGAAAATTATTTTTAACCATTCTAGTTTGATAATTTCTGAAGTAGGTACAAGTTACGTGACCTGTATATTGAAGCAGGAAAGACCTAGATTGCAATCTCCACTTGTTATGTAGTGCAACAGGTTTGCTGCAGTGATTAACATACAACTCATAACTAGGATGCCTAGCAGGTTGCAAGTATCCAAATGTCAGTGTTTCCCACTTCTTCCATTATATAAATAAAAATCTGTACGATAACAAAACACTACCATCCACATAGCATTTGCTAAATGTCCAAGACTTGTTAGACATCACTTAATTTTTAAAACAGAAATCTGGAATAACCTTGCAATAGTGTCTTCATCCCTGCCCCTCCTCACTACCAAATGTCCTTCGCAATTTGTTTTCAAGGGTCATGTCACCACCATTAACATGCTATTTGGAGATGACGGTAGCTCTGACTGCCAATTCAGAGCAAAGATTTGAAGGTCCAGAGTTTACTTAGATCAAGTTTCTATAGTCCCTTCGTGCTTGATGAATTTCCAGTTAAAAACTACTTTTTTCTTTTGAGTATAGAAACAATAAATCTAAGTAAAAGGTAATTGAACAAGTAAGTAACTGAGTTCGCCCCTATTATTATGACCGAGAACGTCCCCTTTGGGAGATTATTTTTATGCTGGTACTAAAAAAGGCATCTGCCAATATCCATCATTTCCGCTTCAATCTAAAGTCAACCGTTTTTGCATTGTCTCAAAACCAATTGCAATAAAAGCCCAACTCGACTCAACACATAAAGAGCTCTTCCCAATACCCTCTCCCCCCGCTGGCATCACAGATGGCGACCGAGGCTTAAGGTTTAACGTCCAGACACTAAAGCCCCTCATCCTAAAAGATGGGGCTCCAGATGGATGCTCTCGGGCAGAGGATGAGAAGCTGTCAATTCCCAGTGGACAGGGACGGGGGCGGGGGCTGAATCCCAAGGCTGAGCCCTGCGCCTGTCACTTTGCACCCACCACCGGATGGGGACCAGCAAGGACCCAGCCTTCGCCTCCGGTGTCCGCGCGTGACCTCCGAGGACCGGAGGGGCGCGGGGCGGGGAGCCTCCTCCTCCTTCCGGGGAAGCTGGCAAGGGCAAGTTCGAGTCGTGCGCGGGAAGGTTACTCACAGAACGGCCCGGCGTCCTCTGCCCGTGCTCCCTCAGGGAGAAGCCCCTAACGCCGCTGCAGCCTGAGAGCTCCGCCGGCTGCCCGTACCCGCCCGGGCGTGGCAGCGACAGCCGGGCGACTTCACATCATCACTCAGCGACCTCGCTTCTGCGGTGACGCCAGGTCAATGGCAGCCCCCGCACAACCGGGGAAGCTCAGGGACCCGCTCTCCCAGCAGCCTCTGGGCAGCAGCGCACGACCTGCTGGGACTTGTAGTTTCCTGTCCGCCCCGCCCCCAAGCTTGAGGCCCCGCCCCCTTGCTGCCAGCCTCGGGGCAGGAGGCGTGGCGGCGATCCCGGCCGGGGTGGGGCGAGTCCGGTCCGGGAAGATTGCCTGGGGCCTGGGCAGAGTTCCAGGCTGTCGGCCTCTGTCCCGGCCGCGCCGCCTCCTTTGAGGAAGGCAGGCCGGGGTCAAGAAGGGTGAGGGGCGGGTAGGGGGCGTGAAGGAGCGCTGCTAGGTCCGCGCACGCCGGGGGAGCCTGAGGCCAACACTCGGCACCGGGTTTCGAACTCCAGCTCCAGCAGCTGGTCGAGCTGTGGCAAGAGTCCGGCCTGGCGTGGCCGAGAGTCCCTGAGCCAGCGCAGGTCAGCCCCGCGGGAAACCGGGGCCACCGCTCCTTGGCTGGCTCAGTGGCCAAGGCACCTGAGCGCGGCGTGGCAGGTGCGGAGCTCGGAGCCGCCCGAGGTACCCTCTCTCCCCAGCGCTCACCTTTGGCCGAGCACACTGGCCTGGCGAGTTTCCAAACCGGAGACACCCTCCGCCTGGTCCTATCTCCCACCTTCCGCGAGTTCACTGCTAAATCGCCCCAAAGCAGGACTAGGAAGGAACCTTTTACACAGTAACGCTCAAGCGTCGTTTGGCCACGGTATTTAACTTCAGCTTGTGTTTTTCCCTCGTGGGTTTATTGTGTCAAGTACCTTTATCCTCAGAACTTGACCAAGATTCGTGACATGGCACCTGCCTTGCTGGCACACAGTAGGCTCTCGGTGAATATTAGTTTAGCGCATGAGTCATGATACTAAGTTTGGAAAATTCTACCAAGCTGCGCGTGGCTATAATCTTTAGAATTTTATGGGTTTCTAAGATCACTTTGAAAATTACAGTAATTTTAAAGCTCAACAGAGTTAAATCGTGTTTTTCTAGTGTGTGCATTCTCTGTAACAATGGCTCCTATTGCTTGCCTAATTTGAGTTAATTTAACTCAAAACCCGAGTTCTATAAGTAGGTGGCCTTCCTTCGGATGAACCACTCTATTACAGAACAAATTAAAATTACTTATAAGCTTTGTCATTTTTAGCTTTTAGATACTAGTGCAAGATACTACACTGATGCACTCATGAATACATTTAGATATCTTGGTCTCAAGTATGAATTCAAAATAAAAAAGGATTTATGTTCAGAACTAGTGAAAGAGCATGCAGAGAAAATTGACAGCAAATCCCCCATTCATCCCCCGCCCTGTTGCCAGTGCAGCTGCAGCCTTGACCTCAAAATGTCTTGTAAAATTATCTCTTATTAGAGTGGTGTATCTAAGGCAAAAACCTCTGGGATTAAACCACCCCACAGGGACAGCTCTTTTTGGTACTAACATTTTTACATAGATTGGGTCCATTTCTTCTGAGTTTTTCTGAAAAACAGATCGTATGATGGAGTTCCAAATTGTTTTGTCATTCAAGACAACAAAGTCAGTAACAACTTGCTCATATTAAGTGGAAAATGCAGGGTACTGAGTCATGATAACCAGAACATTCAGTTAATCAACCTTCCTAACCTTTCTGCTTGTGAGAAAGTCAGCTACAAGTGGCCAGTGCCTAGTCTGCCTTGATTACCGGAGAGTGTTCCCCGTGCCTGGCACAGTGGCTACCCAGTGCCTGCCAAGCATTGACCACCACGGAATGAACATGGCTGCTGCAGACGACAGTGTAATAACTTTCTGTGTGTGTATAGTTTCTTCATTTACTTAGCTTCTTAGAACTTAGATTACTAGAAGTGGGGATTTTACTGGGTCGAGGGTATGAAAAGGGTATGGTTATCCAAACTTTGCCAATGTGTTTTGCAGATGAGCCTTACCACTTGTGCTGCCATTGGTAATATCTGTGTGTACCTTTTAGAACCTCCTCTTTAGCTTTTATACTGAGAGAATATGCAGTAGTTAGGAGCACCTTCAGATGATGCATCTCATTTGATCTGGCACCCAAGAAGGGAGTCAGGGCAAGCATTGCTTTTCCCTTTTTTTGCAACACAACAAACTTCACCTTTAAACTGGTGCTAGTGAATGCAGGTGACCAAATAATCATAAACATTTCAGCGTCTTCCTCCCATTCTCTGCCTTAGGTTTGTAGAGGACATCTTGAATAAATTCACTTCTTTCCTTAGTAATAAAATTGGATACTGCTCAATTATAAAAGGGGACTTCAAAAACGTTGTGCAATGTGGAATTAAATTACCAGTGTATTTTGGTGCCAACAAATTTTGAAATCTATGCGTACGTTTTTCATTATAGACATTTTCCATGCAGTTGTTAAAGATCTTGCTTATCTGTGGTTTATGATTCTTCCTTACTCATTTTACTCAGGTATTTGTAGTTGCCTTGATCAAATTTGGGGACTTCATTTGTAGTGAAGCACAAAGAAGAAAGACATGACACTTGTTAGATATAAGGCAACACCTGGACCTAGCGAGTTGAGAATCTTGGCTCTCTTTCTAAATTAAGTCTGAAAACCTTGGGTATACTTTTGTGGATCCTTCAATTTTTGAACCTATGAATCTGTTTCAGAATCTTCCCAAACTATTAATACTCTGTTAGTGAATATGGACAGGATTTGCATAATAATCTGCATCTCTTTGATACGTCAACAAATTTCAAGAAAAGTAGAACTGTAAAGTAAAAATTATAAGGTAAAAAATGTTTAAACTACAAAAAAGTTATTTTCTCATGAAAACATTAAAAATGTTTTTTTTTTCCTTTTTCTCAACATACAGCAACAAAAAAGCATTAATTTCAACTCTATTACTGATCTTGATTCTTTCACATACTTGCTAGGGGTCTAAAATGATTTAGTAGGTAATTAATCCAATCAGAAAACTTGGAAAATTTCTCAAAGTTTACTAATAGGTGGAACCTTTGGAAATGTACTTGAAAGTGGCACCATTTGTATCAAAACTGAGACAAAAATAGTTTTTTCTGTATTGATTTTACAGTTGCTTAGGGTTTCTGTTGTTGTTTTCTTTTCTTTTTTATAAAACCAGTATAGAGGAGCCACGGAAGAAAAGATGCAAGTATATTTTGGCTTTGAAAATTATTCAGAATCCCCCTTCGGCTTCACTCTGCCTTTATGCTGTGATGTCTGGTCTCAAATAGTGTTCTATAAATTTAGGAAAATGCCCTTTGAAGACACTTCAAGAACACTTCTAGCCTTTGTGTCATGAACAGCTGCCTAATTATTGAATGGGTTTATGGCAACTATTGATAATTCTTCAAGGACATTTTATGTAAATCTAAATTACTTTCCTCTTTTTAATAGTAAGATATTTCTGCATCTTGCAAAGAAGATAAAAGAAAATTTTTCTTTGGAATAGATGGATTTTTATCTCTCTCTGTGAACTAAGTCGATTCGATGTCTCTTTTGGTAAGTTTTTATTGACATGGATCTGATTTGGTGCCATCAAAGTAGTTAGATATTGGGCCAGCGGGTGGTGTAGTGGTTAAGGCACTGGACTCCCACATGACTGATAAGTGATTTGAGTCCTGGACCTGGTAGCTTGAAACTGACTCCAGGTTCATGTGCATGTGTGCCCAAAATCCTGAGAGGAAAATGGAAGAGAAGGGATTGCAGTATGGCCATCTTCCCTGCCCCGCCCGACTGGGTGTTGATTTCTTGCTTTCTGTCTCTCTGTCTCTTCAGTGAGCACAGGTGCTCTATATCAAAAATCTCCCCCTAAAAAGAAAGAGTAGTTAGATATTTGTGCACAGTTGTAGCAAAAGATAACATGTCCGTGGGATATTTTTATGCACCAAGATGTTATTTTTGAACCGATGACTTTTGGTCTTAATTCCAAAAGTTAAAATGAATTGATATTATGATCTCAAGGAAAGAGAGGGAAAAGATCAGCAATAGCACCAAGGAAAATTCTAACAGATGGGAAGTGTTTTTTCCATACACCTAGCTACTTCTTCTTCCCTATACTAAGTACCTTAATGATAGATATCCTGACTTCTTCCCAGGTTCCTGCATACTGCCCTTTCTCTCTGCTCTCTACCCCAGTCACCAGACCTTTTCAGGTCCACACATCACTCCTGCTCATCCTGTGACTTATTTTTCACTTATTTAATGTATTTCTGACTTTCAGGATTGTTTCTGCACTTCACGAACACGAGTTGAATCACTCAGATCTGAAAAACAATCTGAAACCAGTGTCCATCAATACTTGGTAAGAAAATGATTGAGTACAATTAATGGTCCTCCTTAGCGTCCTGTAGTTGCATTTACTACTGATTCTCCTATATCTCTTTTCTTTACGCTATAATTTACTGTTTCTTTTTCATCCTGCTGTTCTCCTGCAGTCTGTAACAGACTCCAACAGACCTCTTCCTAAACCAGCTTTCCCTGAGTGAGCACTCTCACTATTCTATGGCTTCAAGTTGCTCTGATTTCAGATTGTCCTGAAATGACTTTAGAACAATTGATGTATATGTTTCTACAACTATAATGTGACCCCTGTAGGAGTAGATGTCTTTTAAAGGAATATGATTGGTAATAAATACTTCTCTAGGATCTTTTCCTCCTCCTCTTTTTAAAAAACATTTATTTATGTATCTATTTTTAGATGGCTGTAGAGTATGTGTCCTTGCCAGAGAGAGAGAGAAAGAAAAAGTGAGAAATCATCCCTCAGGAGGGATGGCCATGCTGCAATCCTTTCTCCTCCTGTCTTCCCTCGGAGTTTTGGGTATGCACACACATGCCCAGCGTGATTTTCAAGCCATAATTAGCCATGTGGAAGTCCTGTGCCTTAACAACCATGCCACCTGCTGGCCTCTTTTCCTCATCTTAATCCCACCTTTATACTGCAATTTCTATTATTAAATGGAACCTGGCTTGCAAGTGTCTTATTTGCTACAAAATAAGATAATCCTAGTGAATTCTATTTATAATTGGCCTCAGTCCTATCTTCAGATTACTTATTTTTTTTTAGGTTTTTGCCATAGTGCATATGTGCTCACTGGAAAGAGACAGAGAGAAGGAAAGTGAGAAAGTACCACTCTCCTCCTCCCATGAAGAGGATGGCCACATCACAAAATCCTTCTCCTGTCAGAATTTGGGGCACACACACACACGCATGCACCTGGTGTGATTTTCAAGATGCCATGTCCCACATGGTCAATCACGGTTCGAGTCCTGGACCCAGTAGGCTTACTTGCTCGCTTTCTCTCTCTCTCTCTCTCTCTCTGTCTCTCACTTGCTCGCTCTCTCTCTGTGTGTGTGTGTGTGTGTGTGTGTGTGTGTCTGGTCAAACTAAAAATAAATGAATAAATAAATAAATACAATTTAATCTCTCATAAAAAAGATTGGTTCAAATATCACACCTACGAAGCTTTTCAGCTTATACTTTTTATTCCTTAATTCTCCCATATATCTTAGACATTCCCATAAAGTAGTACTTACCGTATTATTTCACAATGATTGATGGGTACATCTCTACAACTATAATATGAGCCCCATAAAAAAAGTAGGCATTTTTATCTCCCCTGGGCAATGCCTGATCAATAAAATAATATGCTTGATAATAAATATTTCTTTAGGATCTTTTCTTCTTCCTAATGCTAACTTCATACTGCAGTTTTTACTATAAAATGGAGCCTGCCTTGCAAATGCCTTATTTGCTACAGAATGAAGTAATCCTAGTGAATTCTGCTTATAATTCAGTTGTCTTTAGTTTTGTCATTTCACTTTTTATTCACTAATACTCTGAAGTCTTCCAGTAGTCCACCCTTTTGTACATGGAATGTACTATCTAGTCTGAGTTTTGATTCAGGTAATGTCCTCAGGTTGAGATAGTGTTCAGAGAGTAAGGGACTGTGGTCCCCTTGCTGTTTCCAAGAAAGGCCTAGAACTTGGGAAAATTCCACAGGTGCTACTCAAATGATTCAGACCTCCATGGTGGAGTTATTTTATGTTTTAAGGAGCTAAATCTGACATCTTCATCTGTTACTGGAGTTAGACTAAAATCTTAAGAGAGAGAAGCAGAAGCATAATCTGAGTCTCTTGCACAGAAACGAATCAGAGAAGTCACATATTGTAAGTTGACACCAGCTGGAAACTTGCCTTTCTGAGCTCTCCCTGAGTCATACTTAAAAACATTATCTGTTGTTTTTGGTTTGGGCAACTTGTAGTTCTCCACTGGCCTACACCCTATACACAGGATTGAATTTTATATTAAGGGGCCAGCAGATGATACAGTGGTTTTGTCACTGGACTCCCGTATGACTGACCACAATTCGAGTTCCAGACCCAGTGGCTTGAAACTCATACCTGGCCCGTGTGCTTGTGTGTCCAAGATCCTTAGAAGGGATTGTAGTATGGCTATCCCCCCTGGGAGTGGGGTGACTTCTCACTCTCCCTCTCTCTGTGTCCCTCTCTCCCTCTCCAGCAAGTGTACACATGCTATAGCAAAACCTCTCAAAAAAATAGGAAAAATATATTAAAATGTCTTGTTGGGATGATGGTTATGATTTTCCAAATGATTTTTGTCTCCTGTAACTTTGGAGCCCCTCTATGTGGAGAACAGCATTTTCTGTGATTAGCTTTTGCAAATGAAAGGATAATTCATGTTTGAGTTAAGATGCCGCTTTTTAAAAGAATGCAATTGTAGTATTGCATTGATTCCTGCAAGGCCATCAAGTTTAATTTTCAATCTATTCAGGGGATGCTCCTTATTATATTTCTGAGAAGTGGTTATAGAAATTCAAATAAAAAGAGCCCATCATAGAAAATAATATTGAAAGATGTTTCACCACAAATAAATATATGGCAAAATCTCTCTAAAAACACTTCACAGAGGGCCAATCCATGGTAAATGGTTGAGGCAGCTGGATCCTACATCGCCTGCTGTGTGGTTTGAGTCCCAGACCTGGTGGCTGGAAAAACATGCCAGGTGCATGTGCTTGTGTGCCCGAAATCCCACAGGGAAGGGGAAATGGAGAAGGGATTGCAGCGTAGCTATTTCCCATCTTGGTTGCTTTCTCACTTTGTCTCTCTCTCTCTCTGACAAGCATGCACATTCTCTAGCAAGATTTTTTTAAAGCAAAAGCATACAAACAGAAAACAATGCACAGAGTTTCACTAACTGGCTTTATTCCTAGCCCATGATTTGGGGTCTCTCTCTCAGCCTCTCAGGATCCAAAACTGGATATAGTGGATCTGTGTCTCAGCACCAGGTCTACATTAACCAAACTCATTAGTCTGCATTATAAACCCGGCCTCCCAGTGTTATAGGAAATGGTGCCTTTACATTGCATCATTGGTCTATTCTTTCCTAAAGTTCCATGGAAAACCAAATCGTGATGGGAAACAGTTGAATTTGTAATGAAGAATTAATGTCAGTTGTCAAAGTACCTGAAATTGCTATCACAGGATCCAACCTGTGGCCTAGTGATTACGGGAGCAAGATCCCACTTAGCCAACTGCAGTTTGAATCCTGGCTCTGGGGCTTGAAAAACACTCAGGCATTCATGCATACATTCCCCAAATTCAGACAAGACAGAGAAATAGAGAAGGGACTGTGGTATGACCACACCCCACTGGGGGTGGGGGGGGTAGTGATTTTTCACTTGTCTCTGGTGAATGTACATACCCTCTGACAATTTAAAGAAAAAGAAATTGACATCATAGTACTGTCTTTTCTGTAAGCAGACATTTGTAGGCATCAGATACTTGCTTTTTCCAACCTTTGTTGGCCTTACCCTTTTCACTCCTAGTTCTTGGATATACCTCCCTATACTTGAAGTGCTGTCAGTGGTGGTCATTCATCCTGTGTTTGGAGATATTTCAATGTAGAGGGGATGAAGGGAGGAGGCAGCAGATTGGCCGCCCCCCTGTCAGAGGGCACCAGTCACTGTGAATTAATTAATTAATTAATTAATTTAATTGAGATTTTTGCCATAGGGTTTGTCCACTCACTGGAGAGACAGAGAGAGACAGAGAAACAGAAAGTGAGAAATCACCCCTCAGGGAATGGCCATGCTGCAATCCTTTCTCCATTCTTCTCTCTAGTTTTTGGGTATGCGTGTGCATGCACTCGGCGTGAGTTTTAAGCCACTGGTTCTAGGACTTGAACCATGGTTAACTACACAGGAGTTCATTACACCCTCCGCTGGTCCCAAGACTATGCATTTCTTAATACCAAACTGAAATTGACCTTCTGTAGCTCCTGTTTGTTCATCTCAGCTCTGCTCTCTTCTACATTAGTCTCTTTTTTAAAAAATAATTATTTTATTTAGCTTTATTCATTTATTTTAATTTGGCCAGAGAGGGATAGAGAGAGAGAGAGAGAAAGAGAGAGAAAAAGCAAGCCACCAGGTCCGGGACGCGAACCACAGTCTGTCATGTGGGAGTCCAGTGCCCTTAACCTCCACACCACCTGCTGGCCCCTACATTAGTCTTTTAGTTACCTGAAAATGACAATTACATATATATTCTTTTTAGTCTTTGCTATCAGACATGTATGCTCTCTGGAGAAAGATAGGAAAGAGGGAGACAGAAAGGGTTAGTGAGAAATCATTCCCCAGGAGGATGGCCATGCCACAATCCCATCTCCATTTTCCTTCTGAGATTTTTGGGCATGCATGCACATGTACCTTGTGTGATTTTTCTCTTTTTCTTTCTTTTCTTTCTTCCTTCCTTTCTTTCTTTCAGAGTAGTTAGATATTTGTGCACAGTTGTAGCAAAAGATAACATGTCCGTGGGATATTTTTATGCACCAAGATGTTATTTTTGAACCGATGACTTTTGGTCTTAATTCCAAAAGTTAAAATGAATTGATATTATGATCTCAAGGAAAGAGAGGGAAAAGATCAGCAATAGCACCAAGGAAAATTCTAACAGATGGGAAGTGTTTTTTCCATACACCTAGCTACTTCTTCTTCCCTATACTAAGTACCTTAATGATAGATATCCTGACTTCTTCCCAGGTTCCTGCATACTGCCCTTTCTCTCTGCTCTCTACCCCAGTCACCAGACCTTTTCAGGTCCACACATCACTCCTGCTCATCCTGTGACTTATTTTTCACTTATTTAATGTATTTCTGACTTTCAGGATTGTTTCTGCACTTCACGAACACGAGTTGAATCACTCAGATCTGAAAAACAATCTGAAACCAGTGTCCATCAATACTTGGTAAGAAAATGATTGAGTACAATTAATGGTCCTCCTTA